CTTTGTAGGAACATGGATGAACCTGGAAACGATCATTCTCAGCAAACTGACACAAGAACAGAAAACCAGACACCACGTTCTCACTCATAGGCGGGTGTTGAACAATGAGAACACATGGACACAAGGAGGAGAGGTTCACACACTGGGGTCTGTTGGGGGGAACTAAGGGATGGACAGCAGTGGGTGGGGAGTTGGGGAGGGATAACACGGGGAGAAATACCAGGTATAGGTGATGGGGAGAAAGGCAGCAAACCACTTTGCCATGTATGTACCTATGCAACAATCCTGCATGTTCTTCACATGTACCCCAAAACCTAAAATGCAATAAATTTATATATATATATAAAAGACTTAAAATCCATTGATCTCTCCAGTGAGTTCATTCTAGCTGAACCCCAAATTAATCTCCTTTTGTCAGCTTCCAACTGGCTACTTCTGCTGAGATCTGCTTGCCTTTCCTTTGGAGCTCAAAGCTATAGAGGTTTAAGATTTCAGCTGGGGATAAACACGAAGCTTCTTCTAGATTATTTCATATGACCCGAGAATTATTCTTTTGCCACTGACCATTGTCGGGGGTGCACAAGGAATAGGTTTAGGCCCTAGCAACTAAGTAAGCACTGAGCAGAAGAGGTTATCACTAACCCCTTGTGAGGTCACCCTGCCTTACGGCACATCACTGAGCTTGCAGTCCCAAGGAGCAGAGCCTAAGATGGAAATCTCTTATCAAGTGATTTACTCAGAGAGAAACTTTAAAAAGAGAGACAAAATCAGGAGAAGGGCAGGAGAAGATGCTGAGCAAGGATGAAGTCTCAGCTGCAGGCTAGCTCATGTCTAATCCCACAGAAGCTCTGGGGTATAAATGGCACCACAGTATCGGTCCCCTTGGTGACTTGGACTCCAGACGATTGTTCCCACGCATCAGTTAGCTATTAGCTGCAAGCCACCTGTGTTGGGGTGGGTGGGTGGGGAGTGCAATTTCTAAGGTGAGGGGTTCTATAGCAGAGGGTGATTCTCTACAGAATGGTGCAGCTTTGAGCCTACAACAGCCAACACTTGCAGCAATTGGAAGATGGGTACTCAGGCTGAATAAAGCAGATCTATGCAAAGTCCCAAAGTGACCACTAAACCGACAGCTCTTCCTGAACCCGTGACACACACATTTGTCCCCATTTTGCATAGCAACCGGGGCTTGGTCCTGATTCTCAAATGAGTGCCGAAAGGAAATAATAGATCCTTAGAGCTCATTTCTGCATCTGACAATCTCCTACCACCCTGACTGTTGAGTGCATTCATAATCATTTATCTAATGCATCTCTTTTTTACCAGATGGCAAACTTCAGCCTGGTAAAGACAGTTGGCCATATCACCTCTATCCAGAATACTGCCTACCCTGCAGTAGATACTCAGTAAACACATGCGGACATACATACATGAACATACACATCTACACAGATGCAGCATCTCAGGGATGTACGATCATTCTCAGGAGCAGAGCAGTTCAAGTTTATGTTGAGAAAAGACTGGCTAACACTGTAACATAATCTGCTTCTGTGTGTCATGGACTTGGCACCATCTGCCACTTCCATCATTCTGCAGAACCGACCCAGTCCTCTGTTAGTCATTCTGATTCCTAACTGTGCTAGAGCTCACCGTGGACAGAAATCATTGGCATGCCTGATATGAAAAGACCTAGTGAAGGTTTGCAATGACTGACTTTCTTCGACCTGGGCCACTGCAGATATCTAAACAAAACCTCCTCTCCCAAACTGGCCTAGAAAAGTATAAAAAGGGTGGGGTGGGGCTTGGAAAATATGATTCGTTTCTGGACGGTGAGAACAAATAAGGAAGCATCACCTCCCAAGGACCACAGAGCCAAGTTGTAAATAGGCTCCCATCACTTACATGTATGCAGAGCAAACCTGCCCATGGTCCACCTTCAATCCAAGTCTTTTCTGTTGCACAAGCCCTGGCTTACAAAACTCTCTCTCCTTGTCCATCCTTGCTTCCTTCATCCATTTCCCATTCTCTGATCATTTTTATCCCTACCTGTCCAAGACACAGTGGGGAACAGACTTAAGGCCTGACCAAGTCAAACTCAGGATCTCGGATACAAAACTTTCCCATGATCCCATAGTCTGATCTGTCCCTGGACTTAGCTGGATCTTCACTTTGGGTCAAAATCATCTTTCTTGCTTGCCAGGTCTAGTTCCTTCCCAATATGTACACACAGAATAAGCCTCTTCTTTTCAATGTAATGGTCATTTCCAAGGTCACTTTCAGGCATGAGCCTGTTAACCACACAAGCAACACTCAAACCACGGCAAGCAGGACTCAGAACTAGAGGCCAGAGTGAAAGAGTTCAGATATGGAAGGAGTCTGATCATAGAGAGCTCAGGACTCACATAATGTAGCTTTTCTGGATAAGAGGGCTGAGAGCAGAGGGTAGGTCCTGGGATTTGGTGCTCAATGTCATGTTCCTGGGGAATGGTATCCCTCAGAGCCAAGGGGGCTCATTTGCAGAGCTGCACATTGAGGCTACGGAAATGATCAGTGGCTCTGTGGCTGGAAGGGGCTGATGCAATGTATATGCCTGGGGAGAGAGCAGCAACCCTGAAGGCAGAGTGGATTTTGCTTCTCAGGTCCTGTGATTGTGGGTTCTGGGAGGCTCAGGCCCAGTTCTGAAAGGAGCCCCTGAGCTCTTGGAAAAGCTCCTTCCAAATCAGAAATGATGAGAACCTGAACCTAACCTTGGGCTCAAGTTTACTAGTGAAGAGCTGAGGAGTACTGTGTGAGCCAGGGGTCATCAAATTGAACTTTATGCTTTTATTAAAGATAAATACCATGTCCCAATGCTGTGTCTTCTTTGGTAAAATATACCAGCCAGACTGGCCATTTATGAAAGATAAATGCAGGAATGGATGAATGAGTGAATGAATGAAGTGGGTGAATAATGAAGTGAATGAGTGAAGTGACCTGGACTTTAATCTTAACCAACTGAAAGAAAGAAAGGTCTCATTATCAGCTCCAGGCAAACCAGGAGAGATCTTGTTTTCCTAGATACTGGTCAAATTTGATAGAGAATCCTGTTTTGAAATACGAAATACTGAAACCAGGGAAGAACCTGATTTAATATCATAAGAAGAATCAGAGGCACAAAAATAGCAAGTGAATGCAGTTAATTACTATTTAAATATTGATCATAAAAGACTCTTTCAGCCTGAATTAATGTAGTGAATTTCAAATCAAAGACCCTGTATAATCAGATAAAGATTGACCATTGACCCTGGCATTGTGCCAGATGACTAAGTCAGGTCTCATCCTTTCTTGGGGAGCCTCCCCTTGGTGTTGACATTCCAGGGACAGGCATGGCTCCAGCAATGCACCCTAATGTTGAGTCTGCATAGATGTAATCAGAGATGGAGCACCAGACTGTCTTTGAGAGGGATTTCCTCCAAACCATGAAACTGATCTTAATCACTTTTGCGTGGCTCTTGCTGCGTTGTTGCAATTATAGAGAAATTCAAGTGAAAAACAAAATTCACCGGACAAAAAATAAATCTGTGTCAATATCATAATATATGTGGCAAAAAGCAGCCCAGCTGTGGCCTCAGTGCAGGACAACCAAGACAGAGAGTCTCTATATAGTGCTTGGCATCTCACAGGGGCCTTGGCTTTCCTCATGTCTTTACTGTACTTTGTTTTAACCAACCTGGGAGAACGACATCACCTCACCTGTCCTGCAGAAGAGAAAACTGAGGCCCAGAATGTGAACGGAATGTGTGCAAAGCTACTAATAATTGTCCACCTAATGATTGTAATTCAGATACAGTTTTGATGCTCCTCAATACAACTTCCTCACTCTCCTCTTAAATCAAATGTGAGCAGCATTAAAAGGAAATAAAAGTACAGCATTGTACAGAAAGACAGATATGTCATTCATGGGTGTGAGTGTCCATAAATATACGTGGGTATACATGTATATATGCATGGCTATATGTATGTATCTACAGGCATGATAAAAAATAAAAATAACAACAAAACACGGAAGTAAAAAAAGACAGTGATTTTCCAGCAGGTGCCTGCAGAGCCCTTCTCTTGATTCCTGAGAGGTTCAATTAACGGATGCAAGTCATAAAACAGTGCATTTTCTCCCTGCTATGATGCATTGTTTTTAATCTCACTGCCTTGTATTATATCACATTCCTATAATTCTTCCGACAGGAAAAGGCTTGTTTCATAAAAATATAGTCCCCAGCATTTGAAATATAAGTTCACATGCAGGCAACATATATATCACCGAGCTGGCAAACTAACTCACTTACTTAATCCACTAAACTTCAGGTGCTTTCTATATTATGTGAAATGGCTTGAAACAGGCAGAAGCTGCCAGGACCCATCACGACTTCTTTGCTCAAGAGAGACGAGAGGAGAAGGGAGGAGGGGGAGTGGAAATTCCCTCAGTGGATTCCACAATAACATGCCTTTCATTATCACCCAGGACACTGGGTAATGTTCATTGTGCATGCACAATAAATTACTATTTACCTGGCAGTGCCTTTGATAAGCGCATCTCCTCTCCCTATTTCTGTCCACGCAGCACGGAGCAGCGAAACCCCTTTGCCTGTAATTCTTATTAAGGTGATACCTTTTCTGAATAAGAAAGTACACACTTCCAAAGCTGGCACTCTCTGGGGTTTTTAAGGGACATTGTTTTTATTGGTTCCCTTTTATTTCTTCCACCCCGCTGTGTTTTAATGCTATAGTGACTTCTGTGTATACAACTCTCATATTGAAATGTCGGCTGCAGATATATGCAATATTAAAGAGCGCTTATGAATTTTTGACATCTAATTAGTCGCTACCCAGTTAACATGTCAGGACTCAGAGGGATTAGGGAGGCAGCCCTTTCTGAATAAGTTACAGGGAGGCTCCTGTCCTTTTCATGTATTATTCTTTAATGTAGGTGGTGATTATTTGGCTGTGATTAATTGATGAAGCCCATTGGCCTGGCAAGTGGTGCCGAATTCACCATTCCTCACTTTTATTTCCCTCAGTAGGGTTCTGCCACTTAATCGGAGGGGCTTGCTTCCTTCCAGGCAATCTCTCTGTGCAGCGTTCTGGGGCAGAGGGACTGTTCCTGGGTGATGCACCTGGACACTTTGTCAGCTCTTGACTCCCTGGTCAGCAGTGGCCTTTGCATCCTGCCTTCTTGGACAAGCCCTGTGGCCTGTGCCCCCCAACCCAAGGCACGTCTGAAACGCAGTGGCATCCCCTATACAAAGGCTTCCTGTTGCTCCCCTTTTCTCTCCTATCTGATTTTCAAGACTTGCTTTCTGGTACCTTTAACACCTGTAGCTCCCAGCCTGGCTCAGTTTACTTCTAGGTTCAGCTGCCTGCCAAGACACCAGGTGACAGTCGGGCCTCTCCAAAGCCGCTCCCACCATTGTCTACAGCTGTGGGGCCCAAGAAACCCCACACGTGAGATGCGCAGTCTGATATGGCCGGTTCTGCCCCTCTGGGTAAGTGATATCAGGCTCTACAAAAAAGCAACAATGAGAAGCGGATGTTGATGAGCGGGGACTGCTGGCTGCTTTTATTGGGCAATGCCCCAAGGGTGTCAAACACCCTGCTGTGTGCGGGCAGCTTCCGCTTCCTAGGAACTCTATGCCCACGCGACCCTCCAAGAAGCCCCTGTTCCAGCTCCCTAGGGTCCCAGGAAGGCATCGTCTCTGGCATTGTGTTCTTGTGAACGTCAGATCTGATCATCTTGGATTTGAAGCTGGGCATGATTTTTAATATTTTAGGTAAAGCAAGCGGGGAAATGGTTTGTGAGTACAGCTCTGTGTTTATTCACGGGGCTCTGGAGGTGTTTTCTCCTGCACCGCGTGACTCTCCTTCCATGCACCCGCATGTGCAGGCAGGCACACATGTGTATACACACAGGTGCACGAATCCATATGCACAGACCTGCGCATATACACATACAGGCCCACACACACGCCCATGTACACATGCAGGTACACATACCCATGCACACACAGGAACACACATGTACACACACAGACTCTCTCTCTCTCCCACAGCTTTCTAAACAAAGGCTCTGCCATCAGACTTTCCTACCCTGGTCTCCTGATTTTATGGACACGTAATTCCCTTCTTTTTTGCAAAGCAGAATCCGCGCCCCCCCCCCCCATTATAAACTCCCACCATTGAAATCTATAATTGGGGGAGTAACAGAACTGTGGCTGATTTATCTTTTTAAATGCATCGACCCTGGACGAGCCATCCTAAAAATGTGTAATTATAAATAAACCTTCACCTATGTCAGCTGGCGGAGTTTTTAATTACTGCACTTGATGTCAATCAAGGCCAGCTCTGGGTGCACATGTTAGGGGGCAATTTCAGAGGAATTTTGTGGACATAAGCTGTTTGCCTTTTTCTATTATCTGCATTTAAAAGGGGAGGGGAGGAGACACCACGACAGCCAGGACGGAAGAGAGAAAGAGCAGCTCCTGGAAAGAAAATGGTCGGGGAGGCATTTTACCCAGGCTGCAGCCTCCTGCCAAGGCTGGGGAGGGCAGAAACTGGACATCTCCCCTAACCCAGGGCCCCACACTGCTGACCCCCTCTTTGTCTCACCAACCCTTTCTTGCAGGAAGATAAGGAGGGAGCTGGAAGTGGGGTATATATTTGCTGATGGAAGGGGGTGGGGGGATCCCTGCTAATCATGTGGGGACAAGGTGGGGGTAGGGGTGGGGGTGGGACAAGGCAGGGAAGGGGAAGATCAGGAAGAGCAAGAAGTGGGGAGGGGGAAGCGCTAAAAGGAAAAAAAAATCAATTGATGCATATTCACTTTCTCCTCCGCTGCGGATTCTATCCGAAGGAAACACTGAACTTTGTAGTGTTAGCAGCAGCTGAAATTTAGAATTATTGTTTCCTTCTAACAGAAGACTCATTTTCCACGGCCGCATTTGCAGCATAATAAGCTTTTTGTTATTTTTTCAATTAGAGTCAATTGACCTAACAAAATGCTTGGCAATTAAGTGATTTTTGTAATGGTCCGGGGGTAATTTAGTCGAGCTTGTCAGCTGTGTTTCATGAAGCCAGGCTGTCTTTTTTTTTTCCCACTGCCTCTCTCTCTCTCCCTCTCTCTCCGTCTCTCTCTCTCTCTTGAGCATAATGGCTCATAATTTCGAAATCTTTTCCTTCTGTTTCCCTCACAATAATTCGCAATTACAGGAAGTTGTTGGAGGTGATTTTTTTTTCTACCTTGCCTTTTGAGTCAGTAATTTTAAATAAAATGTACATACTTATAAAAAGGCAGCTATTACTGAAATCACTTTTTGTGTAAACTCAATTATTTCATGAATAGTGACACCAGCTTATACTGGGTCCCACTCCTGAAGGCTGAAGCATTATTATCTTCAGGGTAAAAAGGTTGGAACATTCAGAACACTCCAAATCAAACCAGCATTCAGTAAGGTAAACACGACTTCAGGAGAGCAGGAGGCAGCTGGGTTACCTGGCCGTGAAAAATGGCAGCCTCTAGGCAGGCTTCATCTCTGTTTCCTCCCCTGGGCAAGGACTGGACTTTAGCTTCCCATCCTCTGATTTATGAGGAAATTCCTCATTTGCCTAATTGATTCATTTTCTTAAGACGACATCTGGAGTTACATTTTCTTTTAAAAGGCTGCAGTTAGAGCTGATGACTGGCTCAGATGTTCCTTCATTGTATCACTATCTGTTTATACCTATCTTAAAAATATATAATATTCTGCACGTATCTGCATACGTGCATACATACAGAAACAGCACAAAGCCATGTGCCGGGGTTATTTTTCAGACAAATTCGCCTAGGAAGTAATGCGAGTCGTTATCAAGATTCATCTTTAACCTTTAGGAGGCTCATGCACATTTCCGCATTGCCTTATGTGTTTGCAAATGATCGCTGCGTTCTACAGCTGAGATACAATCCCTGGTTGACTTTAGTTGCCCCCATTGTGAAAAACAACTTAGCAGCAGCCCACTTCGTTCCTTGGCAAAAAACTCCCCAGTAGGGGGCAGTAGAAGAGCAAGCCAGCGGAACCCCATTTTGGCTGGCCCTTCAACGGGGCAAGACTCCCCGCTCTGGGAGACCCATCCCCTCTTGACTCTGGTTGGAGCACAGAGCTGGGAAGATCCATTAGTACAGAACACTGGTTTTGAATGGGTCTCCTAGTTCTGTCTGGATAACGTCTAATCAAATGCTCCTCCCTCTCCCTTTAGGTTTTATGTCTTTTCAAAGTGGTTCATTTGAAAGCTGTGGCTGTTGTCAGCTGGGTGCTGAGAGCACTGGACAAATTCCCTGCCTGGGTTGTGTAGACAGCGTGGGGAATGGGGGACCCCTGGACCCTGACAGTCTCACCAGGCCTAATGAGATGAATGTCCGTCAGACCTGTGCTGATGCAGCTACTTTCCCTGTGAATTTGACCATCGAAATTCTTCCTACATTTCAATTCCCCCAATTCTAAAATGAGGAGGCTGTGCTAGATACCATCTCAGAACTCTTCCAGCTATAAATTGCAAACCAATCAGGTATTAATCAATTCACTCATCCACTCTTTATTACATGTACCCTGATCTGCAGAAGACATTCTTGTGTATAACATTCTTGAGTTTGATTTGTTCTTTTAAAAAATATGGAATTTTCATTTAATTCCAAATGTCTTTTTTCTTTTTGTTGTTGTTGTACAATTTACTCGCAACCAAAGAAGAAATAAAGATATTTTGGAGAGTTAAAATTATTTCTTAGCTTTAAATAGGTGTGTGCTTTCCACAGTGACTGACATTTCACCTGTATTTTGAGATATTTGGAAATCTTTACCTGTTTCCCCAAGGGTTATGGATAGCCTTGGGCTTGACTTGGTTTAGATTCTCAGACACTGTGGTTTGGCTTGGGCTGGGGCTGGGCCCAGCCTCTCAAGGCTTTGATTAATCCACTGCACCTCTCATTTTCCTGACTATAAAAGAGAAGCTACAGTTCTGAATAAGCATCTTGCAGAAGAAAGGAGCCAAAGCAGAAAGTATTAAACTTTCATCCAGCACCGTAGGAGAGATGTAGTTATTAAATTTCAGCTGCTTATCACAATGATATGAAAGTCATTTCGCATGATTGCTTTGCATCCTCAAATCTTCTGCTTTTATTTGCAATGCATCTCCGTGCTTTCTTATTAGAAAAATACTCAAAGGATAAAAAAGCTGATAATATTATTCGGTTTTGACAATTAGGTAGAAAAAGCATTCAAAGAAGTGCTTTTTTATTGCAGCTGGTAATACTATTGGAGGTCCTCCTGATAGCAGTCTATCCTGATGCTACCCAAGGTGACACTGGTTTTATCTTCTAATTGCCATGTATGGGTTATGCTGGATCTGGGCAAGGGAGGCTATTTCTAATCTTTGCATTGGGACATAGGACTCTAGCTTAGGTGACAGGTAGAATATCCCAAACCTCTTGATTTATGTCATGTCCACTGTCCTCATTGGTGCTGGGCATGGGAAGAGGACCTTCGCTGGCTATTCAACACACTTTTGTTGAATATTGACTGTGTGTTGGGAAATGCCTTAAGGCCCAGGGCTATAGCTTTGAGCCATAGTCCATCTACAATTGAATTTTATCTCCCCTTTTCCATTAAATCATCGGTTTACTTTTAAGTTATATATCCATATCAAATTCTAAGTTATGTATATATTTGTGCACATAAAGATATATAATTTTTTTAATCATTTTACTATCTTTTCATGGTCCAGAGAAATGCAAAAATGATTACTTTGACTTATTAGCCAGTTCTATATACCTGATTTTACTTCAGCCTTTTAAATAGCTCTATGAGATAGAGACTCATTTTCTTTTGATAATAGAGGAAAATGAAGCTTAGAGAGGTAAAGAGACTTGTTCAGGGTCATACAGGTGGCATATGACATCTATGTGATTGCAGTCAGGTCTGAGAGTATCAATCAGTGCTTTCTTTTGGCCCTAGCCTACTGCCAGCATCTCCGTCAGCATTTGTCACCAACAGTCCTCAGTGCCCTTTTCTTTATGTGTTCAGATTCTAGCAAGGTAGTCAGAGACCTTAGCCCAACTGGCATCACCCAGTAATAGACCTGAGCACCAGGGCTTTGGGAGCTGAGATAGGGGAGTAGGAGCCCCACTCGGCCAGATCTCTAAGCCCCACACTTTCTGCGTTTTGCAAGGAAATGGACATTGCTTAAAACAACCATTAGACTGATATTGATAACAAGGGAGATGCAGCCACTGAAATCTAATTCTGGAGAGCTAAAGGAACCCTTGTCGGAAGAGGAAAAGGTAGCTGCACCCCATGGAAACAGCTCCCAGTGAAAGTCAAGGTCTTCCTTAAAATTAAGGAAAGGTTAAATTAAGATCCTAATTAATTTAACAATAATTTGTAGAGGTCTCACCATGAGCCAGACCTGGTTCTTGGTGCTTGGGGTACCAGTGAAACACATGAAGGCAATGATGCTTGCAACAGTGGAAGTTACGTTGTAGCTGGGGAGTTAGACTAAATAGCAAGCCACAGAACAGCGTGTCAGAAGGCAGAGTGCCACAAAAAAAAATAAAAGTAAAGCCAGATCTGGCAGACATGGGGCACAGCTTCAGTTTGCATATTAAATATCCTGATCAGGAAAGTGAAATCTAGCCCCAGATATGTCTTGGGAATCTTTTTGTTCTGGGCTTCATATATCATGAACCAAAATTTTCTAAACTTGACTGATCTTAGGAATCACTAAGGAGGAATGTGGTTTTTTAACTGTATGGAATCCCAGGCTCACCTAGGGATTCAGATTGTCAGACTCTTCTGGACCTGGAGCCTAGGAATCTGCATTGTTTAACAAACCAGCCCAAAGTAATACAGATGTGCAAGTATATTTAAGAAGCCCTGGACTAAAAGGCCGAGTGTACTGTAAGGGTCCTAGGATGAATCCTCTCTGTTCATCATCTCTGTGACCTTGGGAATATTATTGGACAATGAGGTTTTCTTTACTGCTGTGGTTGTTAATGAGGGTTAACTAATACAACAACAGTTGGGAAAACATCTAGCCTGGGCCACGGCACATCATTGGAACTGTATTTTTTTTTTCTATTACTCCTTGTAGCACTAACATCAAGTCATACCTCATTGAAATTATGAACACAAGACAAAGCCATTTGGAGAGAAGCAGCAGTATCATGGCTGAGAAAAGAGGACAATAAAGAATTGGAAGGCCGAGCACAGTGATGTACACCTGTAATCCTTTGGGAGGCCAAGGAGGGAGGATTTCTTGAGCTCAAGAGTTCGAGACCAGCCTGAGCAATACAGCAGAACCCCATCTCCACAAAAAATACAAAGAATTAGCTGGGTATGGTGGCACATGCCTGTAGTCCCAGCTACTCAGTGGCACTGAGTTGGGAAGATCATTTAAGCCCAGGAGGCTGAGGCTACCATGAGCCCTGATAGTACCACTGCACTCCAGCCTGGGTGACAGAGTAAGACCCTGCCTCAAAAACGAAAACAAAAACAAAAATAATTTGTAAAGTGGTTACCCTGCCAAGAGAGAAAAATAACTCTAAGCCATAATTTAGGGAGAGACCATTTTACCAATGGAGTTGTGAAAATATGCATTCAATTAGCTGAGATGATGAAGAAAAGGTGGACCTGAATGTTCTCCATAATTAATGCATCCTATATTGGATAGGGTCCGGTTTCCTCCAGGTTGCGGGTGATGGGAGACAGTGATCACTGAGTCTAGCTGGCTCAATGTCAGTGAGAACTGTTGTTACCGCTCCTGTTTGCACAAAATCCTGACATTCTGCCTTTGCCATCAAATTGTCTGTGTACTAAGCAGAAACCGGCGTTTCATTCATCACCTCAGCTCTTACAAAACTGAAATTGTATTTAAAAAATAAAAATGAAACAGAAATACAAGTGCCAAAGAGCACACACCACAAAAATATTCATCCATGCAAGGGAGGAATTATCTCTTTCACCTCTGCCTCCCAAGCAGGCTCCTCCCGCTCCTCCCATCACTCCTTATCCTTTTGCTCTGCTCTATGCTTTATAGGACTTATTCCCACCTGATAGCTCATCTGCAGTTCTGTTTGCTTATTTGTTTTGCTGTATTCCATTTCTTTCTCCCTCTTTGCAATGCAGTGTCTTTGTTCACTGCCCCATCCCCTAACCTACCGTGTAACAGGTACTCAAAAGTATTTTTTGAATAAATGAATCTCAACTCACACCAGTTTTCCTACTGGTAGAATGTCACCGATCTTCTAATTCTCTCTTATAAATTCTTCTAGGCCACTAAGCTGGCATGATCATAGTGTAAAAGGCAATTCAAAAAAGATAGAGAAAAAAATACAGGGAGAAAGAGGAAAAGAGGGGGAAATTTAGCTGATGTGATCTTTGGCTCACTGCAAAATCCGCCTCTCAGGTTCAAGTGATTCTCCTGCCTTAGCCTCCCGAGTAGCTGGGATTACTGGTCCACACCACCACACTCAGCTACTTTTTTTATTTTTAGTAGAGACGAGGTTTCACCATGTTGGCCAGGCTGGTCTCAAACTCCTGACCTCATGATCTGCCTGCTTCTGCCTCCCAAAGTGCTGGGATTATGGGTGTGAGCCACTGCGCCTGGCCATCTGCTTGATAAATTTTATGTCAAAGTCTGCAGACTCCAAGTATCTTGTAGCTTAAATTTTAACTTGGGGCACATTTTTGTAGAATTCACCATGGTAAGGGCAGGGCAAGATTTTAATGGCCAAAGGCAATGTGCAGATTTGTTTGCAAAACTGCCAATTTCCAATATATTACAGGGAATTGGACAAGGCTGAGATATATTTGGAATGAGTCAGATATAGAGTTTATTTTTAAAAATATACTTTGATTAATTTCAGGTACCTAATTATCTCCTCAATTTAACAACTACTTCTGTTTAAATGACAGCTTTTAAAATATTTGACTCTAATAAACCTCCCCTGAAAACTTGTTATGCTATTAATTTGATAATACTTTTTGTAAATGGAATGTTCATTTTGTAAAGACAACTCAGTGTGTGTCTAAAAAAGTCAATCCCTTGCAAGAATATGATATAAAATAGTATTTTGCTATCTCACTACTAAAATGACTGTACTGAGTGTTCATCCTCTCTGCTCTGATAGCATAGGGTGATGGTTCTCTGAGGCTGGGGACTGGGTAACCACCCCAGCTGAAGCCCATCCAAAGCCCCCAAGTCCATATGGACAGACTCCTGTTGTAGAATGGATTCTCAGTGCAATACAATCTCACACCCAAATACAAGTTGAGAAACTCAAACTTCTACCCTTTTCCACGTGTTCTTGCCAATAATGAAAAATACATTTGTAGTATCCAGATATGTCTTCCTTTCCTTAAATAATCATTTGATGATCAGCAGCTAGAGAAGAATAAGGAGAAACTGTGACTGAGAACAAATGGACTTCTCCATTCCCATGAGATGTGGCATGTGGAGTGGCCGTTTGGGAGTCGGAAGGCTTAGATTCTAAGCTTAGTTCTGCCAGTGACTGTTCTGCTCAAACCCTTGTTGCTACATCTGTAGAATGAGAATGTGAAGCTAGCATTAATATTTTATCTATTTGTGAAGGTAAAAAAACATCACCATGAACCATCTCTTAGACGTGGAAATTCAAACCAGCAAGCGTTTATCTGTTGAACATTCTGTGCCAGGCCCGTTTATAGTCTCTCTGTGGAGTGGAATTAAAGTATACAATACACATATGTGCATGCCCATGTGCACACATGTGCACACACACTCACACACAGCACAGTGGCTGCCTGCAGGAGGATTGCAATCTTCAGGATGCTGTCAGTCGGAAAGACAGTATTGTATAGAAGAAAACAAGTAGACTTCTGGGATTCAGGTCTCAACTCTACCCATCAGCAACTCTGCCCTGGCAGGCAAGTTGCTTATTTGACCCAAAGTATCCCCAGCTGAAGAATAAATGGAGATAAGAATGTATACATGATGGGGTGATTACAGAAATTAACAGTCTTTTTTAATAGGCCGTAATATGCAATACTCCCAGGCACACAGTAGGCTCTTGGTAAAGAGTGGTTGTGATGA